ACGTCATAGGAGGGGTGGCGGGGGCCATAACGCCCGTCATGCCCCAAGCAATAAGGAGTTCTGGTGGGCGCCTCGGTGTTCCCAGGGCCTCATCGACGACTCCGCGCGAGCGCGGTGGCCTGGCGAGCGCGGCAGCGCATCTGCATCGCGCGCCGGGCTTCAGAGACGCGGGCACCCTCCTGGGGTGGCGCGGTCAAAAATCCCGCGAAGCAGACTGCGGCCGGCGGCGTGCCAGAAGGCGCGGCGGCGCCTCTGAGCCGCACGCCAAGCTGCCTACGCGCGGGGCGCCTTGGCCGGTCAGAAGTCCCACCCAAAATTGCCACCTCCAGAGTACTGGGCGAGCACGTTCACGCGCGCCTTTCGGCGGCGCGCCCAGGGAAAGAGCAGAGGGAGCGGGCCTTCCCAGAAGGCTCAGAAGGCCCCTGGCCTTCCGAGGAGCTCTCTCGAAGCCTCCTGCGAAGCCACGGGAGGCTGCTTGGCAGGCCGGAGGGCTTCTGAGCAGCCGCGCCGCCTTCCGAACAGGCCTGCCACCTCTCGGACGCCTGGCAGTTTTTCGGTCATTAGTCTGGGGGTCATCGCTCGGCTCTCGGGTAGACCTTCGGGGCGATCTGGACCCCCTCCCCCCGCAGAGAGCTCTCGGCGAGGTGCAGCTGCTGGGATCTCCCGAGGCAGGGAAACAGCCGAGAACCGCCGAGAGCGACCCAAGACGCTGCCCAAAACGGCCCCTCGGCGCGTCGCAGAGCCTTTCCATAGTCGTTCACGAGCTGGGCGCTCTGGCCGTCCATGGGCTTTGTGAGCGAGGCCAGGGCCTTCCTGACGTCCTCCTCGCCCGCCTCGCGCGCCACGAGGATGGATGCCAGCGCCTGCTCAGCGTACTCTGGCACCTGGTGTAGCTCGACGAGGCGGAGGATCGATCCCCCCTCTCGATCCTGTGCACTGGATCCTGGATCCTGGATCTGGCTCCTTCTCCTCCTCCCCCTGCTCCTCCTCCTCTTGGATTCTTGATCCTCGATCCTCAATCCTCTTCCTGATTCTCGATCCTCCTGGGTCCTCGACCATCCTCATCGATCGTACCCCTCCTCCTTCTCATCCTCAGAGGAGGGGGAAGCAGGCGAGAGAAGGAGAGAAGAAACACGGAGGAAGAGGAATTGGGAGGCAACTCTTGGGAGGGAGGGCTTTGTGAGAATGGCTCGATTGAGGCTATTACGCCTGATTGTGGAGCGCTCGACTTGGATCAAGCTGGATAAGGCTCACGATTCAGCCCGACGGATTGAGCATCCCTAACTTAGATTAAACGAGCGTGTGTCAGATTAGGCACTTCTTCGGCCATGGATATACCATCGCCGAGGCTGAATTTGCCCTCCCAAGATTTGCAACCAAGAAGAAGCACACATTTTAACGAAGGAAGAAGCGTCGCCCCTCACCGGCTTGGCTTGAAGGCCCCCGCCCGCCTGGCAGTCCTTCTCGGTGCCTCTCCTGACAGGCGCAAGATGTGTACGTACAGTGGAACGCCCGACCCCCTGAGACATTTCCTCATACCTGCCTCCCCCGCTTTATCGATCTCAGGTTGACCTTGTCCCACGCAGACACCCAGACAGCAGCAGCAGCAGCAGCAATGAAGAATCATCGTTTTTTCTTGACACCGCGACGCCTTTGCCACAGACAATCGCTTTGCATGTGCGTGCTGTCGAGATAGCGAGGACCAAACCGAAAACTGGAAGACCAGCGAAGAACGCCTGACCAACCACATTCGGAGCTTACCGCCCTCAGGGGGAGGAGAGGAGGGAAGAGAGGGAGGGCGGACCTCCCTCTCTTCCTCGTGAGACATCCTCCTCCCCATCCTCTTCCCCCCAAACCTGGACTTCTCCTCTCCTCTTCTCTCCTCTCCTCTCCCTCTTTCAATATCTCTCTCTCTCTTTCTCTCTCTTTCTAGGCCCAAGGCAAGACCATGGGAAGCAACCTTATTCCCACTGGTACAGGTGATCCCGCCAGAATCAGGTCAGAGTGGGTCCCTGACCCACCCCCCAACACCACACTGACATAGCTCACGTCAGAGCCACGTGCGACCATGACGACGAAGGCCATACTGCGATCGCCGAAACAAGCAATGAAAACAATGGGAATAGCCCGTGGGCGGACCCAACACTATCAGTTATTCGAACGTCACGGAAAGCAACTTAGGGGGGGGCATCCCATGGGGCGCAAATTATGTGTGCAAAGACTTATTGGAACCGTCGACTCCAATGCTAGAGCAAACATTACATCCACCCAGTCGCAACTTGCTGGTAAAACTTAGCTGGCGCAGTGACGCGAAGACTCTAATCATGTGGGCCCATGGCCCGAACGGGCGAATGATGACGGTGACGACGACACCCGCGACGACGTGACAATCATAATGATTACGATGATGGTGGTGGTGATCGAACGTAGCTTGTCAATGCTACATTCATGTCTTACGCCTCGGAAGAGCGTACTGCAGCAGAGAGCACCTCGAGGTGCATAAGGATTGGGCGCTCCAGTTGAGCGGACGCGAAGCTTGTGGTAAAGTTTGAAAGCGAGAGCGAGCAGATAGAGAATGCGCTCCCTGGTGGTTTCCCCTGAGTAGTGGTTCCCTTCACCCAGACCGAGACGGGCAACCACGGACTGAGGAAGACAGAAGCGAGGTAAGGTGACGAGGTGGATCAGTGATTTCGAGGGCGGCGATAACGACAGACGACCACAACGAACAATGGTGATCGGAATGAAAGCAATGGTAATCATACTGAAGACAATGGCGATGATGACGCCGGTGGTGACGATGACGATTGTGCTGAGGAGCATGATGACGAGGTGCACGCGCACAGAAAGTCTGGGAAACTTGTTATTTAAATGCGTGCTTCATGTGTGCTTCCGCACTTTCGTCTAGAGGTGCTCAGACAACTCATGGTCTTGAAAGAATTTCGGCATGCGCTCGCGGGGACGCGCGCGTGCGGCCCGCATTGCATCATTTAGCCGACCTGGCAGGTGCGCGGTGATTGTTGAACGGTGCCGGCATGAGCGCCTGTGTGGCCGCACTGTCTCATCTGACTGGCCGGAGCGGAAATACTGCCTCCTCATAATTTCAGCGAGCGCGCGCACCAAAGCCGGCATCTGCATAACCAATAGTTATAGTTGATGGTGCCCTTTCCCCTGGTCCAGGGTGGGGTTGGGGTTCGTGTTTCTCCAAGAGCCCCTGCAGACGAAACTCCTTGTCCCCTCTCTGCTGTTATTCCATGGCGCAGTCGTCGACATTATTAACACGCGCACCCACACAAACACTCACGGTATCATCACCACCACATATAGGGGCCACATGCGAACCCTACCCCTACCCCCCACGATTTCTGAGGGGGAAGGTGGGGTATCGTGAACCCCCGCTCCCCCTCAGAAATCGTGGGGGGTAGGGGTAGGGTTCGCATGTGGCCCCCTAGCCACAATCATCATCACTAACTACCCAGACACGCTCATACACTCACGCACTCCGCACTCCTGCATCCATCTTAAGGCAGTCTCGAGCGGGAGCCTGGCCCAGTGAGCGACTTGCGAGGAAGTCTCGAGCCGGAACCCCTCCCTATGGGAACCCCACTTGACGTTTCCAACCCGAGGGGGTCGACCCGGTCATCCAGATCCTGTCACGAGCGCAACTTTTGGGATCCTGGGACCTGAAGCTGTCGGAAATCTTGAGCGGGAGCTTGGTCTGTGAGTGACTTGTGGGGAAGTCTCCAGCGGGAGCCCTCCATATGGGGTCCCCACCTTGTAGAGGGAACGGGACTGGAGGAACGGCGGAGGAGCGGGAAGAGGAAGACGAGGAGAATGCAGGAGAAGGGGGGGGGAGGAGAGGAGGTGCGATGTGGCTTGAAATTGAACGATTTGGTACTGATAGATTGAGCATGCACTTGTAAGACCACAGTGAGTGCCCCGCACATTACTAGTTGACAGCAAAGAGGGGGGGCAGACGATAAAGGAAACTGGCTGGTATATTACTAGTTCACATTGAGGATCGGCGGTCGTATATCATAACGTATCAAAAAAGTAATGCGCGGGGGAGGACCTGGCGTCGCGACGAGAGAAGAGCCAAATATTCCTCGCAGGTATTCCTCGGACGAGAGAGCGCATGGGGTACGGTAACACTTCTGGGATGCAGCTCGTAGGGTGCAATTTGCAGGGTGCGTCGGGTGGGAGGGATCTCGCATCTATACTTATACGTGGCAACCCATTGGGTGCAACTTACCATGTGCATGTACTGGATGTGCGGAACGCATGCGGACGGTGGAGAGGAGGAGGGGGCAGAGGAGGAGGGGAGAAGGCGGGGACCGTCTCTTCAAAACGAGGACCCAACACCACAGGATGGTTGGGAACAAAGGGTACGTCACCCCCGAAAACCGCGTGACAAAACCCATTTGTAAAGATTGGATTCCGGGAGGCAGTATAAGGCCAATCAAATTCACAAAAACAACGGGTGACACGTGTCACCCCGAAATTGTGCGACAAAACCTGTTTGTAAGGGTGCTGGGAGCCAACATGAGGCTATGCAACTTCACAACAAACAATGGGTGACACGTGTGACCCCCGAAACCGCGTGAGAAAAAAGACATATGTGAAGGTAAGAATCTGGGATGCAACATACGGCCGGTCAGCCTCACAACATCAACGGTTGACACGTGTGACCTCCGAAACCGTGCGAAAAAACATGGAAGATTGGCATCCTGGGAAACCACGCAACGCCATTCAGCCTCACAACAACAACGGGTGGCACGTGCCAACCCGGAAGCCGTGTGAGAGAAACCAACTGTAAAGTCGGGGTTCTGGGGGCCAACATAAACGCCAGTCAGCTTCACAGCATCAGCGGGTGACACGGGTCACCCCCCGAAACCGTCTGAGAATTACCCTGTGGCGTGCCCAACCCACTCACATCAGGTGGCAAGAGGAATGTGTCCAAACTTGCCAGGACAATGGCAGCGAAGGCGCCGTTATATGTCGTTCAAGCTACATGGGATGCGCTCACGTGGCACGATTCACAGGAGAACAACATAATGATTAGAAACGAAGGCCTAGACTTGAGGAGGACATGGGGGCGGGAACGATGGGCTGGAGAAGGACGCGTGGGGGCCGATCCGTCAGCGCGGCAGCAGCAGAGTGAAGGTGGCAGGGGGCAGAAGGCGACGATGAAACTAACGGGAGGAGACCGATGAGTGCTGCTTTTGCCGGTCGTACGCTAAAGATGCAGCGGTGTCTGCGCCATGTCGCCGCGGAGCTCGGCACAATGATTAGACATGCGCATAATTTGTGCAAGAAGCGAGCGAGGCCTAGCTCGCCCGCCAATTCCTTTGCTTCTTTCCTGCACTTTTCAGTGCGGAAGCTAAACGCTCGAGGGCGCGCCGCCATGTCTGCAGGCGGCCCACGACAGCGCCCCGCTGGACCCCACAGCTGCTCTTGAAAAAGGCGACAGTTTCGCAAATCGCAGCCCCACAGGGATGGTGAGGTCTAATCTGAGTCTGCGTGAAACGTCATTCCGCTGGATCCCCCAGCAGCCCTCGAAAGTGGCGACAGTTCCGCAGATCGCAGCCCCACAGGGATGGCGATGTCTAGTCTGAGTCCGCGTGGGACTTCGCTCCGCTGTATCCCCCAGCAGCCCTCGAAAGTGGCGACAGTTCCGCAGATCGCAGCCCCACAGGGATGGCGATGTCTAGTCTGAGTCCGCGTGGGACTTCGCTCCGCTGTATCCCCCAGCAGCCCTCGAAAGTGGCGACAGTTCCGCAGATCGCAGCCCCACAGGGATGGCGATGTCTAGTCTGAGTCCGCGTGGGACTTCGCTCCGCTGTATCCCCCAGCAGCCCTCGAAAGTGGCGACAATTCCGCAGATCGCAGCCCCACAGGGATGGCGAGGTCTAATCTGAGCCTACGTCGGACGTCACTCCGCTGGACCCCCTAGCAACCCTTGAAAATGGCGACAATTTCACAGATCGCAGCCCCACAGGGATGGCGAGGTGCAATCTGAATCTTCGTAGGACATCACCCCGCTGGACTCCCCAACGGCCCTCGAACGTGGCGACACTGTCGCAGATCGCAGCCCCCCAGGGATGGGAGGTTTAATTTGAGTCTGCGTGGGACGTCACTCCGCTGGATCCCCCAGCAGCCCTCGAACGTGCCGACACGTTCACAGATCGCGAAACACAACACGAAAAACAAGACAAGTGCCAAAACCTACCGAAACATCGTTGTGGTCGGTCCTTGTGTCAATAGTCCGAGCGAGCCATCGGCAAACTCTACCAGGCATCGCACCTCATGACCACCAATCATCTGGCGGAAGTCTCAAGCGGGAGCCTTGTCTGTGAGTGGAACGCGAAGATGTCTCGAGCCCCTGTGGGACCGCACTTCACGTTGGTACACGTCGATCGGAAGAAGTAGGTAAAAACATAAGGCAGGAAGGCAGACAAAGTGGATTGGGTCCAGGCCCTCCCAGAGAACGACAAAACACAGCAAAATCATGCCGATTCTTGAAGGAGGAAGGCGCTTGAAGTAGATTGGGATCTGGGCATCCAAAAATACCTACTTTCAACGACCGGCGTGTAGTTATCGTCTCTCTGGGTCTCTTCCGGCCTGCGACGCCAGCGGAGAGTGGAGAGCTGACGAGCGGTGAAGCGAGCCCTCGCGGACCACTTCCTGGAGCCATCGGAGGAGGAGGAGGAGGAGGAGGAACTCAAGAGGAGGAGGAGGAGGAGGAGGAGGAGGAGGAGGAACAGGAATTAAAGAGGACGACAGCGGCCACGCACAGGGGGAAACCCGAGTCCGGGCCGCGGGTGGCAACTCATCCGCAACCGAATCGGGCGCAGGGGGAAACCCTCGCGTCCGGGGCGCGGGTGGTAACCCATCCGCAGCCCAAATCGGTCGCAGGGGGAAGCCCTTGCGTCGGGGACGCCGGTTGTAACCGATCAGCGGCCGAATTGAGCGCAGGGGGAAGACCTTGCGTCCGGGGAGCTGGTGGGAACCCATCCGCACCCGAATCGGGCGCAAGAGGGAACCCTTGTGTCCGGGGCGCGGATGGCAACCAACCCGCAGCCCGAATCGGTCGCAGGGGGAAACCCTTGCGTCCGGAGCGCGGGTGGTAACCCATCCGCACCCGAATCGGGCACAGGGGGAAACCCTTGCGTCTGGACTCGGGGTGGTAACCCATCCTCGACCGAATGCGCAACGTCGCCTCAACAAAACCCGTCCTGCGTACTTGTGGGTCAAAATGCCGCTAGCGCATTCATTTTTTGTTTGGGGGGCGTCCTGGTTTCGACCCCGCAGGCTGCCTTCGCGAAACGGAAGATGACGCCTTCAGCGTCGGGGCCGTCTCCTCTCTCGATGTCCTGCCACGTTTGCGTATGTATTCTTGCTTTGAACGCCAAGGCCCCCAACAACTTCGAATGACGTGATGATCTCTGAACGGCGGGCGCCCCTGCATGGATTGGCCGGCACGGTCGTCGTGCGTGCGATCATCGTTACGATCGTCATCGTTTGTCGCGTTGCGACCCAGCTCGAAAACCGAATCCAAGAGGTAAACACGACCGTGTTGGAAGGGTTGCGCGTGTGGAGCCAGCGGGCCCGATTCTGAATGCAAAACCACAATGTTTTTTTGAGCATGTCCTCCAATGCGTGCGCGTTCTGAAGATTATGTTCTTTCGCGTTGCCACCCCGGCTCAGAGACCGATTCCACGGGGTAAGCCGACCATATTGGCTGGACTCCGCATGTGGCCCCATCCTGTTTCCGTCGCCGTATCGAAAGACATATTCGAACGGGTCTCCATTGCCAGGGCAGTATCCTATCAGCATGCGCACTTTTCTCACCCACTATGCCTTTCGACAGGTATGACGCGACTGTGCTCGTTCTGTTCGTCGCCGTGCACAAGGATGACCTGTCCACCATCAAGCACGGGGCGATATTCCATGGCGTTTGGACGGGTCCACTCCGTACGTTGGCTTCCGCACGTCGCCGGAGCAGGCCATGGAGCCCGCGCGCGTAGTGCATCAGCGGAGTGGCGCTTCTGTCTCAAAGTTGACAAACGCGCTCCAACAGGGAGGGGTACGCGCCCGCGCTCTCGCGGATTGCACCGCGACGCCCGCCGCAAGGGAGTACGCCTTCGCGCCACTGTTTCACGGGGTGGTGTATGCGTCCAGTGAAGAAACATATTGGGGAGCGTCGCACTTCTGAGGCAATCTCCCATTCGCTGGGATTCGCCATTGCTGGCGGGAGATCGACTGATGTGGAAACGCCTCTTCATAGGTTGTGCAGCGCCCGACGGGTTGTCATGACTGTACTTGTTCCACATGAATATTGTCCTGCTTGTTGCTGCCAGCGCGCTGTCGCGTCCCAGCGGCTTGGCTCCGTGCCCCAGCGGCTCGCGGGTTTGTCCCGACGGCCTGGCCCGCGGGGTTGCCCCAGCGGTTTCGGGATCTGGCCATCGGAGAACGCACCCATGCCTGCCATGGCGGCAACGGCGCCGAGGAAAATCGACTTGTGCGCCCTTGCTAAAAAGGGACGGGGGTGGAGGTGGCCGGGAAAGAAAAAAGGCAGGACGACGAGCAGGGGGCGGGAAGAGGGCGTCCGCCAGGGCGGCGAGGCGACGAGGAAAGAGCCCCTGCACCCATAAGGACGACGACGAGGTTCACTTCGGAACTCGTTTGGGGAATTCTCATGCGGGGTCCTACCAAACCTACTGTCGGAAGCCCGATCTTCGAGATTTCCAGCAGCAGTGAATCCCCATCACAGCAGCCGCTGTTCGGAGGAAGAACCTACGTCGGCCCGGGACGTCCACAGGATATGCAGGGAGGCCCAGCCAGCCTCCGGAGCGCCACTCGCGCGGCCCGGAGGCGCTCCGGGAGCTACAGGATGGAGCGGCAAGCCTGGGGCAACCTGGGCCAGGGCCACGCCTTGCAACACGCAGCCCAAGACCATTCACTTTTGTGGTCGCAGCGGCGAGTCCTCACCGCGTTCGGAGGCAGACCTGGGATGCACGTGGTCGAATTAGCTACACCGGGCGGCGGGAGGAGAAGGATCGCAGGGAAAAAGGGGGAGCACGCTCAGACCGTGAAGTCATTGCACGTGTGTGCCTGAGCGCGTGCACAGGGGTGCGCATGGAAAGGAGGATCCTGCGACCGCCCGGCCTCAACTCAGGCCTCGCCCATCTGGGCACCCTCTCCGCCGTCCTCCTCCAGGAGCCAGCCGGGGGGGACGCAGGGCAAGCTTAAGGACGAGTCGGCCACGCGTAGAGGCCGAGCCAAACGCAAGGACAAGTCGGCCACGGCGGCGGCCAGCCCGCCGCTCCTCCTCCTCCTCCTCCTCCTCCTCCTCCTCCTCCTCCTCCTCCTCCGCCTCCGCCTCCGCCTCCGCCTCCGCCTCCGCCTCCGCCTCCGCCTCCTCCTCCTCCCCTCCGCCTCCGCCTCCGCCTCCTCCTCCTCCTCCTCCTCCTCCTCCTCCTCCTCCTCCTCCTCCTCCTCCTCCTCCTCCTCCTCCCCTCGCGGTGTCCTGGCGACGGCCACGGCCAGCTGGCCCGCCGCGGGCACCGCGCCGGAGGCGGCGGCGGCGGCGGCGGCGTAGTGCCGCGCCGCGCGGAGGGCGACTCCGCTCGGGGTGCCGCTGCCGACCAGCGCCGCGAAGGCGGCCCCGGTCGCCTCCGGCACGGGCTCCTGCGGAGGCCGCTGGCCCCGGCGGGCCCTCCTCCTCCTCCTCCTCCTCCTCCTCCTCCTCGTCCTCGTCCTCGTCCTCCTCCTCGTCCTCGTCCTCCTCCTCGTCCTCGTCCTCGTCCTCGTCCTCGTCCTCGTCCTCGTCCTCCTCGTCCTCCTCCTCCTCCTCCTCCTCCTCCTCCTCCTCCTCCTCCCAGGAGGCGCGGCCAGGGCGCCGCGCGGGATGAAGCGGACTGAGCCGGATTTCGGACCAGGGCAAGCGCAGAATCTGACCTCCCAGGAGTTGCATCCGAAGCTGTCTGTGACTCTGGCCATCGAGGCAGCGACTCTAGCAAGACATAGGTATACCAGCTGGGTGGTCGAAGCAATCAGGGCCAACGGTTAATCCCACGCCCAGTATACTGCTCGTGGAGGTGCGGCCGATGTGTGCCCCGTGCTCAACGGATACGATGCCCCACAGCAAACGTTGTCCAAAACCGGTAGGGGTTGCTGTTGGGCAGGCAGCCTTCTGCTTCAAATGGACAAGGCCCCTGGCGGGACCGACAGCGAGCCCCGTTCAAAATGGGCAGGCTCTGCACCTGCTTCTCGATCGTGCGGATCCTGGGGGGGGCCCAGTGCTTCTTCGCTGGCGTCCTTGGTGCGCCCGCAAACTGGGCAAATGAGGGGAGAGGATGAGCGGGATGAGGAGAAATATTACCAGCCTGGAACATATCCCTATCCCTGAGCTGGGCATCGCCTCATCACAATGCCAATCTTCGGGGTTCCCTTAGTTTTTCAGGGCGCATCCCTAAGATTGTCATCGCCTTCTGGGGTGTCAATCTTAGGGATGGGGATAAGTTCGAGGCTGGTGAGAATAGGCTGGGCAGGAGAGAGGGCGCTCGCTCGTAGGGCCTGGCTCCTGACGCAGCACTCGCCTCCAGCCCAACAGCCATGGCCATCTGGCGGCCGGGAGCCATCACACCGGCAGCCTAAACATATCCAATACGGCGTGACCGATGTGCTTCATCACTTGGCCCGCTGATCGATTGATTCCCTCATTGGCGGGCTCATTGATTGTTGATATGTCAGCACGACTGGTTAGTTGGCTTACTGACTTGCTGTTCCCAACCCTCCTGGAGGAACTCGGTCTCTTTTCGGTGTGCCAGGCCCCGACTCCCCCCGCGTCTTCCTACCTCCTGCCCCCTCCACCCTCTCCTCGGCACTGCTGCTGTGCCGCTGCATTCGCATGGCGCCGCCACGCTCATTTCGGCGCATACTGCCCATGTCCAACCCAGCTCCCCCAATTGCGGGCCAAGAAACGGAGCAGACCTAACACGTTTATACGGGATCCCAACGAATGACGGACCAAAGCTCGATTCGATCCGAGGGCAAAAAGGTCTCGACGACCGCCAATTCAGCGCAACCATCGTGCACTCCCTATCATTACAGTGTACAGATACAACACGGAATCCTGCCACAAGAAGCCTTGGGCACATTCTTCGTCGGTCTTTGAGGCTCCTGACGTTTCCCCAGAGCTCATGCAGGTCACCGGGGCCATCGGGGGAGAAAGAACTCCCCATGAGCCTCTGCTGGGAAACACTTCTTACTTAATGTGCGCACTGCTTTTGACACCAGAAACAAGCCTGCAGCCCCTGAGCTTGTCACCAGTGCGCAGCGGAGGGAGCGCGAAACTGGAGGCGGAGGAGGAAGAGGAGGACAACGCAGAGCCCTTACAGCGGGGGCCGCAAAGGAGACGCCCACCACAAGGTGCACCAAGGAGCCGCACGAGAGCGGCGACAGATGCTATAAGGCAAAAAAACTGAAGACGCATACAGCGGAGACCAGTCCACAAGGAACCTTTCACCCAACCCCGAGATCCCAGGGGACGTCCATTGATTTTTGGTGTGGGCACGTCACGCTCCCCATCGCAAAGCCATCGAAACCCAAGAAACCCAGGGCACCCTGGAGACAAGCCGGGTGTTTCTTGGCATGGGTCTCCACCGTAAGGCAAACCACTGAAGACGCCTACACTCTCGGAGGTCCGCGCGGACTCCTTGGCATCGGCGCTCGACCCTCCCCCCCCCCTCCTGGCGCGCGCAGCGCACCCGGGGCGGCGCCGAGCCCAGGAAATCCGAGCGGAGCTCCGACCATTCATGTTGTACGCAGCTGCTTCTTCGTCGAGGGCGCACCCGGGGCGGCACCGAGCCCAGGAAATCCGAGCGGAGCTCCGACCACCCTTGTTTACGCAGCTGCTTCTTCGTCGAGGGCGTACTTCGGGTCGAGCAAAAGGGGGGGATAGCAAAGGGGGGGTTCGAGAATCAGCTCACGTAGCTGATTTTCCCGGCGCCTCCCGGCGCCGGGAGGCGCCCATGTATCGAGGAATGGGCCCGGCGGCGGGGCCGAAACCAGCTGCATGCAGCAAATTTCGTAACCCCACCTTTCCCTATCCCCCCCTTTCGTCCGGCCCGAGTACTGCACCTCGACGTCGCCGCCCTCGCGCGCGGGGGAGCCCAGCAGAGCAGCTCGCCCCCCAGGCGGGCTGGAGCAGAGGCCTGCGCCCCGACGGAGGGCCCGTCCGCAAGTTGGGGCCCCGAGGGCCGCACCCGCGGGCTCCTCCGCCTGGGCTCCCCCTCCCCCTCCCCCATCCTCCTCCTCCTCCTCCTCCTCCTCCTCCTCCTCCTCCTCCCCTCCTCCTCCTCCTCCTCCTCCTCCTCCTCCTCACTCTCCTCCTCTCCTGTCCTCCTCCTCACTGTCCTCCTCCTCACTCTCCTCCTCCTCCTCTCCTCCCCTCCTCCTCCTTCCTCCTTGCTCCTTGCTTCCTTCCTCCTCCTCCTCCTCCTCCTCCTCCATCCTTCCTCCTCCTCCCTCCTCCTCCCTCCTCCTCCTCCGCCCGGGCTCCCCCCCCCCCCGCGCACCGAGGTGGCGCAATTTTGGTAGGTGCCAAGACGGTGCGGCGGCAGGCTTCCGTGGCAAACCGCGGGAGCCTCCCGTGCCACAAACGCTGGCTCTTGCTGATCGGCGCGGGGCGGCGCCTCGTCTACGCTCATCGACGCTCAATCGGCTACCAGACGCCAGCGCATGCCAGTGCCCTCCACAAACGACATTCCGAGGAGATACAGCGCCCCACGAGATGCTACTGATGACGAAAGAACAACACACACCCATATCCATAGGGGTGTCGTTGGGAGGAGGACTGGCTATGGGTATGGGTGCGGGTTGTCGGACCCTGGGGAACGCTCCCGTTCGAGCGGGGACCCCCATCCGACAACACGCACCCATAGCCCTCTCCGATCCCCCTATGGGTATGGGTGTGTGTGTGTTGTTGGTTCGTCAACTGAAGCAGACCGTGCGGTGACCTCGAAGCCCCCGACGACCTCACCGCACGGTCTGCCACCGCACCGCTGTTGGGCCCCAGGAGGCCCCAGCTGCCCGACACGTTCCCGGAGGACGACCCGAGGCCCAAGACCGTGCGGTCGATGCGAAAACCCACTGGCTCGAGCGGCTCGCCCCGAGGAAACGCCGACGTGAGGCCAGCCGGCCGAGGCGAGGCCCCTGACGCGAGGCGTACCGGATGCCGGTTGCCAAGACGCACAGCGGCACACCTCCGAGCCCCTTTCCGAGCGAAGAGGGGCGGCCCGACCCCTGGGGCGCCCCGCGTCGGAGGAGAGGGGAGCGAGAATGCCACGACAGAGGGAGGGCGAGAGCGCTGCCCTGCAGCGCTCCGCCCCCCGAGCAGTGGCGAGCGAACTGCCAGTGGGCCGGCTCTGGTGCGCGCCCACCCTGTCTGCGCGGACCTTCCTCGGCCCGGCGCAGAGGGGTGGAGCTCCAAGCTCTAGGTGCAAGGCCGCCTCCAGCGCTGCACGGTGTGCACAGGTTCTCGCTCGAGGCAGCGAGCCAGGATGCCGCCCCCGGCTTCCACGAAACCTGCGCTGCGCTGGCGTGGAATCACGAGGTTCCCTGCCTTCTGTGGAAACCGCTGGGCTGGCTACCACACGGGCCGCTTACGGGCTCCCTGCTCGGACACTTGGGTCTCAGCTTCAGTGGCCGACACCCTCGCCGCCGCACCCACAAGAAATACCATATCTTGAGCGGCACGTTTCACAGATCACCGCATTGGGGTAGCCAGATCCGAACATGCACAAACATCGCGCCCATTTGACATTTCTTTGGCGCCGGACTGCGCGTCAAGCAGCTGATCTGAGGGGCTCTGCAGCTCAGGGGCAACTCGGCTGGGGTTTATCATCGCGCCCTCGCGGGCGAGGATAACTCCCTGGCCCAGACAACCAGGCGCGGACCATACTGAAGGGGCCGCAGGACACACAAATAAATACACACAAATAAGAATGTTCCCCAGACTTTCCCAGACTTTCTGGGTTTCTGTCTTCCCCCACACTTCCCATATTTTCCCATACTTTCTAAGTTCTAAGGAATCGAGGGTTCATTGTGTCTGTGTGTTTCTTTCCCTCCTGACATATGGTCATCTTCGCGCCCCTGCTCGGCGTCGGGGGCGCACTGCAGCCTGCAAAGCGACGCTCGAGAGCCCCTCGCCAGACCTCCAGCAGACCAGCACGGCTCTCGGAACCGAGGCGGAAAGAGCCTGCTGCCTGGACCGTGGAGACATTTCTTGACCCGCGGGTCGAGAGCGCACCTCTTCCGGTCGAAGCTAAGCGGGCCGCGCAGACCTTGAATTACGAGGACCGTGGAGACATTCGAGGAGCGGAGCCCAGTGCCACCTGGAGCGCGGAAGCCGGCAGCGGATCCGGCCCGCCGGCGTCGGCGAGAGGCCCGAGGTGAGGAGAGCGGGCGCGCTCCTGCATGCTGGCGTGCAGCCTGGCGGAAGCTGCTGCCAGCACCTGAAGGGGGCACGATGGGGGCGGACTGGCTCAGGGAGGGTGAACGGCAGCTTCCTCCTCCTGCTCCTCCTCCTCGTCCTCCTCTTCTTCTTCTGGAGTATTCTTATTATTCGTATGATTTGTATTAGTATTCTTCTTATTCCTATTATCATTATGTGTAAGCTTCTTCTCCGTATTGTCAACATGCTGCTGCTTATTCGTTTGCCATCATGCTTGCTATTTTTCTTCTTCTTCTTATTACTGTTATCACAATTATTCCTCTTCCTCCTCCTCCTCCTCCTCCTCCTCCTGCCCTTTCTATCTTTCCTTTCGCCCGCGTGAGGCGTCCCACTGTCGGGGAGTCCGCCACGCCGGGCCGCCCGGCGGCGCTCGGACACCTGCAATCACCGCGGGTGGGCCACCCGGCGCCCAACCCGCGGCGGCCCCTCCCCGCGGTCCGGGGGCGCGGTGGGTGGCGCCCGACGCTGACGCGGGGGGCCCCTGCGCACCAGCACTCTGAAGAGGGGGCCCCCCCGACGCCACGCCGGGCGCCTTGGGGCCGGTGGCTGCGCGGCGAACGTTTGGCCCGGATCGGAGGGCCACTGGCCGTCGGGGCGGCGCGGGGCGGGGGCGAGCAGGGGGCGCGCCGGGGGCCGGCAGCCAAGGCCAGGGAGCCAGGCCCGGGAGGCAAGCGGGGGCGGGGCAACGCGGGGCGGGGGCCAGGAGGAAGGCGGGGCAGGGGCGGGAGGCCAAAGGGGGGGGGAACCGGGGCGGGGAGGGGCCAGCAGGTAAGGGGGGAGGCCAGGGCAGGGGCGTGGGGGGGGCAGGAGGGGGCCCCGTGCGGGTGGTGGCTGTGCCCGTCCGCTCCAGCTTTGCGCCTGGGCTGCCCGGCGGGAAGCGCCGCTTGCAGGTGGCCTGCTGGGGCGACCTGGCTGCTGCAGCGGCCTGGCTGGCGCTGCTCGCGGGGGGCTGGCGAAGCTGTGGAAGCCGCGGGCGCACGACGATGACGACGGCGGCAACGACGACGATGACGACAGCGACGACAATCATCTTAAGACTGTTCGCTCTCATTGGCACGCGTATTTTGCATACTGTGCGCCCCAACCGTCGCCACCCGCCCACTTTGTTTTTGATCGCACCCCGTTTCGGGGGGAATCCCTTCCTTGTCGACCACTGACTGAAATGCGAGGAACTCTCGAGCGAGAGCGCCGTTCCTGAGTTCGGGGGCCTGTCTGGCCAAGCCAGGGGCTCTGGGAATACATATGGGGAATCCGTGTCTGGGCGTCCACCAACTTGCCTGCATTATGAGACAATCTCGAACGAGAGCGCCCGCCACTCTTGAGTTCAGGGGCTTCTCTGGCAAGGGCTTCTGCGAATACAGATTGAGGAAGTATCGAACGAGAGCCCTTGTCGTCGTAGTTGGGCCTCCACCAATTTGACTGAATCCGCCGACCCCTTGGGGTCACGGCGTGTGAGATGCTTCCCCCTCCCCAAACCCCTCCCCCGGGAACCCGGTCCGGCCGGTTTGGAGGGGGGAAGGGGGGGGGGAGGCAAGAGGCCCCAGAGGGCTCCAAGCAGCGCCCACGATGGCCCAAGAGGCCCCCGAGACGCCCAAAGGTCGGCCCTAGACGCCCAGGATGGCCCCCAGACGGCCCAGGAAGCCTCCAAGAGCATTCCCGAGAGAGGCCCCAGATGCCAAAATCGTCGAATTCCTATTGGGAGGCGTACATTTAAATCATACACGACCTTTCGACTTTCACGGCGTTGAAGACGGCCCCAGAGTCCCCCAAGCCCGCCCCAAAACGGCCCAAGAGGCTCCCAAGAGGCGCTCGAAGCGGCCCAAGAGGGCGCCACGACGGCCAAAAGAGGCGCCCAAAAGGAGGAGCCTGAACAAACAACCCGAACCTTCTGCCCCAAAACGGCCTTATGGGGGGCCCGAGAGGCGCCCAACAGGGCCCATGAGGCCCCCAAGAAGCCCCCCAAGAGGCCCCAATAGGCCCCCAAGAGGCCCCCCAAGAGGCCCCCCAAAAACTCAAAAGAAGCCCCAAGTACCACTTGAGGCATGTCACTTCTAACCCGCAACCCAGGCACCAAGGATCTCAGGCCGACAACCAAGGCACAGTGGCGGGATGGGCCGGGGGCCCCCTACAGCCCCAGAGGTTTTCAAGAGGGTTCCAAGACGGCCTCCGGGCGCCCCACGAAAAGGCCCAGAAACCAGAGCAACGGCCCTGGAGAGCCGCAGGACGGTCCCAAGAGGACCCTAAGACGGGCCAAAATGGGCGCCGAAAGGCCCCAGAAACCACCAAACCAACCCAGGACGGCCCCAGGAGGGCCCCCCAAAAAATCCCCAAAGGGGTCCCACAAGGCCCCCTCGACGGCTCCAGAGCGCGAGTTACGACTCGTGAGAAGATCGCTCCCGAGCGCCCGCCAGTGCCTCCAGCTGACCCCTGAGGCCCCTAGACGCCCCAACGCGCCACCAGGACGCGTCCCAGGAGGCCCGGCAAAACCAAACCTCTGCCCCTTCCCAAAAAAAAGGTTCAAGTTTAACACATTCGCTTCTTGAGCTTCCGCGAATCCCACAGCAACCCCAAAAAACCCGAAATCAACCCAAAAGTCCCCGCATGCCCCAAGAAGGCTCCCAGACGGCACAAGCGGGCCCCAACAGGGCCCCCGAGGCCACCAGGGAGAGCCCCGGGTCGGCCCCAAGAGGAGGGTAGGAAGGGAAACCCGAATGCAGAATTCGAGCACTTCGCCCCGAGAACATATTATACACCTATACGACCACCCTTCGGGTGAGAAGGAGGTTCGGGGGGGGAGGAACCAACGTCTCACTCGATCGGTCTCACTATCGATCTCAGTATCGGTCTCGCTCGATCGACCTCCCTCGATCGATCTCACAATCGATCTCACTCGATCTATCTCACAATTGATCTGACTATCGATCTCACAATCGACTTCACAATCGATATCACAGTCGGTCTCACTATCGATTCCACTATCGATATCACAACCACTCTCACAATCAACGTCATCATCATCAACAACAACATCAACATCAGCATCATCATCACCAACATCAGCATAATCGGGACACCGTCCTCATCATCAACACCAACATCATCATCATCATCACGGTCATCAACATCATCGGGACACCACCATCATCATTCATCACCATCATCACAATCATCATCATCAACATCATCATCATCAGCAGCATCGGGACACAGTCATCGTCATCATCATCAGCAGCATCATTATCGGGACATCATCATGATCACAATCGTTATTATCATCATCATCATCATCATCATGATCATCATCATCATCATCATCATCATCATCGGGACACCATCATCATCATCTCATCCTGATCATCGACATGATCATCATCAGCATCATCAACATCATCATCAGCATCCTCATCATCGTCATCACCAGGGCACCATCATCATCATTACCAACATCAGCATCAACATCATCATCATCACCATCATCATCATCACCATCGGGACGCCATCATCATCAACAACATCATCATCATCACAATCAGAGTAATCATCATCATCGGGACGCCAGAATCATCATCAACCTCATCATCATCAACATCATCACCATCGGGACACAATCCTAATCTGCATCATCAACATCAACATCATCATACTCATCATCATCGGGACACCATCATCGTCATCATCATGATCATCAACATAAGCATCATGATCACCATCATCATCATCATCATCGGGACACCATCAGCATCATCATCATCATCATCGTCATCATCATCGACATCATAATCATCATCATCATCATCATCATCATCATCATCATCATCGGGACACCATCATCATCATCATCATCGTCCTCATCATCATCATCAGCATCACCATCATCATCATCGTCATCATCATCAGCATCATCATCATCAGCATCACCATCATCATCATCATCATCATCATCATCATCATCATCATCATCATCATCATCTCATCATCATCATCATCATCATCATCATCATCATCATCATCATCATCATCATCATCATCATCATCATCGCGGGACACCGGGACACCCGGACACCGCGGGCACCGCGGGACACCGCGGGACACCGCGGGACACCGGCGGGACACCGCGGGCCACCGGCCGCCCGGAAGGGAGACATTTGGTCCGGCCGCGCCTCAGCCACACGGGACTTTCGCGGGACACCGGCGGGACACCGCGGGCCACCGGCCGCCCGGAAGGGAATCATTTGGTCCGGCCGCGCCTCAGCCACAGGAGACTTTTTCTCGCCCGCCCACGCAGCTTCGCCTCGCCCGCACGCACGGCACGCACGAACACGAAACCGAAATCGATTTCCCCGTAGGGGGGCTCTCCGTTCCACTTCGATCTCACCCCCTCACCTCCGACATTATTATATACATGCACCTAAATTGCCCCTGGGCGCGGAGGCGGCCCTTCGACGACGAAAACCACGAAACAACTGAGAATCTGAAGGCTCTGCAGCACTCTTTGTCTCTTTTCCCCACGCATAAGTCGTTCGCCGTGAACCCCTTTGGACCCTTCCCGGGATCCAGTCGCAATCGTTTGCCCAATGTGCATCCAGCATCTACTTCGATCGAGAAGAAGAAGAGAAGGACGAGGAAGAGGAAGAGGAGGAGGAAGAGGAACAACTAAAAATATGATTCCGTCGTCGACGACGATGTCCCACAGATTTTCGTGGTCTTTCGACCACCCGAAACATCTCCTCGAATTCAGCCTCCAAGAACCGTTTTCGGTGCCCTCCCGGGACCACCACCGAGGGTCCGGGATGAGGATCGACCTTCCTGGCCGGCGGCGCCCCTTCGCAAAGGAAGGCGCACGGGGTGGGTCGAGGCTCGAGGCATACGACTCCTAATTCTTGGGCGTTCTCCGCCCCTTCTGGGCCTTCAGGAAGCTCCTCGTCGACGCAGATGGGTCAACTCTCGAACTTCTGGCCAGACGCACCCCCAGCTGGGTCTCAACGGTCCCCGAGCCTACCCAAGGAGTGGAAAAGGAAGCCTAGGACAGGCCCCGTGAAAGCCCCGAGAAACCCACATAAGACCACGAACAACTTCAAAACAAACCCCTGCAATGCCCCCCCTTGAATCCTACGTAAGGCAGGCGGAAACCCCAAAAAAGCCCAGCGATCGCGCGCGTTCCGCGAACGCCGTCTTTCACTCTTGCTGCCGCCCCGAGGGGTCGGCGGTGCGGCGTAAGCACATGAATCAAGAAAACGTCTCGAGCGAGAGCGCCGTTCCTGAGTTCGGGGGCTTGCCTGGCCAGGGGCCCTCGGAGTAAATCGTGAAGAAGTATCGAGCAGGAGCCCTCGCCGTCGTGGTTGGGCCTCCGCCAACTTGGTTGAATCTTGAAAGAATCTCGAGCGAAAGCGCCGTTCCTGAGTTCGGGGGCCTCTCTGGCCAGGGAACAACGAAGTAAATTGTGAGGAAATATAAAGCGGGAGCCGTTGTTTTGTAGCTGGACCTCCAAGGGCCCACGTTTACACTCGGGCCAACGCTCGCGCGGGAGCCTCACTTTCAGAGAAAATTCAACTGGCGTCGAGTCGAGAGCGCGCGGGATCATTTCCGGGCGTTAGCAAGACTTATTCTTTAGACATTCATATTCGACGTCGACGACGACAACGACGATGACAAGGGGCAGGGGGAGGTCAACCCTGGGGGGGGCCCTGCGGACTCACGCCGCATAGGGGCGGAGGCCGCGCCAGAGGGGGACTCGCACCGTATAGAGCGGAGGCCACGCCCGCGAGCGAGGGCCCCCCCGGCTTGACCGCGCGCCCAAAGGTGGCGCGGGTCTCAAGGGCCATCCGGGTGAGAAAAGAACGCAGGAAGGAGAATATCGAAACCAAGCCCGAAGATGAAGATCAACTGGCCAAGGGCGAGACCTCCGCGGCCAACCCCCAGGGTCCGCCTCCCTCCTTTCCCCCTCACCTCCTCCCTCCACCGTCCTCCTCCTCCTCCTCCTCCTCCTCCTCCTCAACCTCTTTTCCTTATGCAGCCCCTCCTTGTCGCACCCCAAGATGTGTTGGTACAGTCGGACCTAAGACAGAAGAACATCCTTCAAGGAACAGGAGACCCCCCGCCTGCCAAACTGGACAACTGTTGACAGGTTGGCTTCCTGCAGGATGCGCAAAAGCATCAAACACACACGAAGAACATGAACCAACGCCGATCTTACACGTCGGTCCGACCGTAGGGCGGGCCAGATGTTTCGTCTGAGACTTTCGCGTCCAAGTGGCCCTGCAGCTTGAGAGCTGCAAGAGTTTTATGGATGGAGGGAGAGCCGTTTTCGTCAAGATTGATGTCGCCTTGGCGTTACGGAGCGTCGTCTTAGAACTCTTGACATCGAATTCAAAGATGGGGGGCGGGTCGTTTCCAACATGCGATCATCGCCTAAGCGCAGCGCACATGCGTGTTTGAATTCTACAACCGTTGCACGGATGGATGGTGGGTCGTTTACAACGGATGGGTCTCGCCTGCGCCGCGCACATTCGTCTGAGAATTCTATAACCGTTTCACGGATGGAGGGCGAGTCGCTTGCAAAATGTGGTTCTCGCATCGCCGCCGCGCACATTCGTTTCACAAAAACTGCAACAGTTTTCGCGGATGGAGGGCGGTTCGTGTTTGGAGCGTTGTCTCAGAAGTCTTGACTACAATTTCACGGATGAAGGGCGGGTCGTTTCCAACATGTGATCATCGCTTAAGCGCAGCGCACATGCGTGTTTGAAATCTACAACCGTTTCACGGATAGAGGGCGGATCGTTTACAACATGTGGGTCTCGCTTTCGCGCCGCGCACATTCGCCTGAGAAGTCCACGACAGATAAAATATTCGTACGATTGGAATCACAGGAATGGCTTTCCAGCGCGGCTCTGGGTTGCCAGGGCACAACAGTCACGTTCATTCGTGGTGTTGAAGTTCCAGGAATGGCGTTCTGGCGCGATTCAGAGTTGTCAGGAAGCAACAAATCATGTTGACTAGCGACGTGGACGTCCAAGAACTTGTGTTTTTTCCTCCCGCACGATTGCGGATTCTCAGAGGGTTGTCTTGCAACGGGGCATTTCCCGCAATGCGGAACATGGTTGTGGGGACCCATAAAAAGGAACTTCGAGGGAGAGTTGGTTGCAACTTCGTTGATGCGTCTTGGGGTTGCGCTGGTCCTCCTCCTCCTCCTCCTCCTCCTCCTCCCTCCCACGCTCCCTTCCCCCCACGATCTATCCCCCTTCCATCCTTCTTCCTTATCACTAAGTTCGCCTTGTCGCGCTCGGAGCGGGCGTTTCGCCTGAGAATTCCCCAGCGCTTCTGATCCTAAGGCTTGCCATCTGCAACAGCTTCACAGATGGAGGGAGGTCGGCTTTCAAACTGTGACCCTCACTGGAACGGCGCGCGCATTAGCAAACATGTAAGGAGCTTCACGGATGGAGGGCGGTCCGCTTTTAAAAGGTGGCTCTCGCCTTGGCGCCGCGCACATGGTGTCAAAACAAAACAATACAAGGGCTTCATAAATGGAGGGCGGCCGCTTTCACAATGTGGCTCTCGCGTTAGCACCGCGCACATTCGTCCTTAACATTTGCGGCAATTTCACGGATGGAGGGAGGTTCCTTGTCAAAACGTGGCTCTCGCCTCGGCGCCGCGTGCATCCTTCTTCAGAGCTTGCAGCAGCATCACCGACTTTCATGGTTGACGTCTTGGAAACTGTGTGTTCGGCACGACGTCCGGAGGTCAAGGCGCAGCGGTCACGTTGGCTCGCGGCGTTGGGCTCCCCAGAAACGGCGTTCTCGCACGAGTCAGGATCGCCAAAAGACGCAGCAATGACTGTGCTCCGCGGCGTCGACGTCCCAGGAAGGTTGTGCTGGCACAGCTCGCGGCCTTCAAACGCTTGTGTGTTCCAACGGGGGCACTTCTCCTTCGACGGGGAACGACACAAGGGTCGGACTGGCTCAGGGTGTGTGCGTGTGTGGGGGGGGGGCAGCGGCCCAGAATCGGCGATACATCGTCGATAGATCGGCGGTAGGCCCCTGATAGAGAAGTCGCACCGTCCTGAGCGGGGTGGGCCATCGGGCCCCTATAGGCCGTGAAGCAGGTGCCCCTGAGAAAAAAAACACCCGCGTATTGATAAAGTTCGGGATCCGGGGTGGGATAATAAACGATTTGGCCCGGCAAGTCGCACGTGGGATTTATGACGAGGAAGAGGAGGTCGTCGTCGTCGTCGTCGTCGTCGTCGCACGAAGACGACGACGACGACGATGTTTCCTCGGGAGGGCGCGGCCTAGAGGTCGACCCGCAACCTTTCTCGTCAGACCCTGCCAAACGTTCGTGATCATGTTGCTTCTCAACACAAGAAGATCACAACTTCGACTCGTGAATTTCCTCCGCGATAATGAAGCTCCGCCTCGCCGCCCCGCTCCCCCGACCAACTCTGTCTTGGCCCGAGAGAACCAACTCTCAGGGGAGAAGGGGGGTATGATTTATTATCGAGGGTACTCGGTTACTGGGCGATTGGGGGACGATGTATCCTCACCTGAGTCTATCCCCCTAACGTTGACCCATTGCTTTCAAGTCAAAATTCGGCTCTATGGCGGCCGCTCGGCCATTCAGGACGATCCGGGAACCCCCAGAACGCTCTCGACGTGGCGCAGCCGCTGGAAGGTTTCCCGAGGCTGGAAAACCGCCGAGAACCCATGAAGGCCACCAAAAATCCGAACATTGTCCCCTGACCAAGCGTCGAAGCCCCTGGACCTCTTCTGGGGTGCGTTCTGACCAGACTTTCTAAGCGGATCCAGCCTCGCTCACGTGGGCGCCCCTGGATGGTCAAAAACGCCCAGGAAGCAAAAGACAAACTTCGATCCAAGAAACTCGGAGCTCGACTCTCGAGCTCCCAACGCTGCCCCCGAGCACCACGGCAGCTGACTTCACCTCCGCGTCGCCGTCCGAGAGCAGGCCAGGCAACGCGCCCGCCACGAGGCGCCGGACCGAGGCGGCCATGTCTGCGGGCGGCGCTTCCAGCTGGGGATCCTGGGGCAGGCAAGCCCACACGTGAGCCACCGGCCGGTGCTCAGAATCTGACGGAAGTTGTGCTTTTGTTGAGAGCTGGGACGGGCAACGGGGGGCAGCATGGTGGAGGCCCCTTGTCATCAGTTGGGGAGCTGGCAGTCCTCTTCAGCAGAATCTGACAGATGTCTGCAGCCAAATAAACCCCCCAAAAATCAGTGGGCCATGGCGAAGACAAGGCCGCTTTTATTTGGACGCCCGAGTTATCCGGGGTAACTCGGGTCCGGGGTAACTCGGGTTTGGGTTCCCGAAAAACGAACCCGAGTTAACCCTGACCCGAGTTACCCCTGATGATTCGGGGCTCTGGGCGCCCGAGTATCCGGGGTAACTCGGGTCTGGGGTAACTCGGGTTCGGAATCCCGAAAAACGAACCCGAGTTAGCCCTGACCCGAGTTACCCCTGATGATTCGGGGCTCTGATTTATTACCGGTTCCGTCTTGCAGATCTTTGCCGATTCTGGCGCCGTTTTTTCCCCCGGTTCCGTCGCCATCGTTTCCTGGCTCTGCTTCTGGTTCCACCCCCTGGGCAGTTTCTTCCGGTTCCCGAAAATCGATTTTAGGGGGAAAACAAGCCTCCCTCGCTTTTGACCACCCTCGCTTCCAAGAGATACCAAACGATGCCAAATTGCAGCCTGTACTGATCAGGCCGCTTGACGAGGAGGCGCGTGGTATGGCTTGGTTTTGCCTGGAAGCGAAAGCGGGGTAGGTAATTCACGCTCTGAGATTTAACTGTTTCTCACGTTCCAGCAACAATCAATCCTCCGAGCACGGTAAAACAACAGCCCTGCTTTTTTCTGGGGCCCATTTGAGCCCCAGCAGGGATGTCCAATACCCCAGCGCCGCGTGAACCCGTCGGGGTACTGGGGTGACCGCGGCATGACCCCACTTACAAGCCAAAATGGGCCAGATCGAACCACCTTGGCATCCGCTTATAGCCCCCCGCTGTCGGGCTGAAGAAATAAGGAACGAAACAGCAGGAACGAAGTCGTTTTCTGGCCCCCAGAGCGCCTGCGTGCACGAGGAGGGTGAGAATGACAGCCATGGAAGGACCTATAAGGAACATCGAACCACTACCTGACCCAAACTATTCCTTATTTCAGCGTCTGGGCTGTACCCCCTTAGCAACTCCTGCGGCCATCCCAGCAGGGGTAGGACCCGCAAATGATCGCGTACGGGGGAGGGGGAGGGGCAGCCCGGCAAGCGGGGCCGCGGCGGGCGCCGCCTAGAAGGGCGAGATCCCCCCGCCTCGCACTGTGGGCAGGTCTATCCGTGGGCGCCAGGGGCCGTCCAGTCTGGGCCCCCGGGGCGGGGACCCTCGGAAGAGCAAAAACAGCTTGAACATACAGGGCAGTTTTTGATACATAGGATTTTCAAGAATATAAGATGTGTTCATACATGATCTGTTTATGAATAATTGTATGCATGAGCGCATCGTTTTTTTTAATAGTTAACCCCTGCATGTTTAATACATGATCCGCACGCGGAGCATTATTACAAACGGCACTGTAACCTGCTGAGGCTCCGAGCGGATGTCTGGGATCTGCGCCGACTCCGCCTCCCCGATGCGCGGGGGGCGGCGCCAGAGGCGCCGCCAGGGCTGCCCAGCGCAGAGCCAAGCAATCCGCGCGGGGCGTGGACAAATCGTGTCTATGCCCCTTCCTCTCATTCGAAGGAGGAGGAGGAGGAGGAGGAGGAGGAGGAGGAGGAGGAGGAGGAGGAGGAGGAGGAGGAGGAGGAGGAGGAGGGAGGAGGAGGAGGAGGAGGAGGAGGAGGAGGAGGAGGAGGAGGAGGAGGAGGAGGAGGAGGAGGAATAGTAGGAGGAGGAGGAATAGTAGGAGGAGGAGGAATAGTAGGAGGAGGAGGAATAGTACGAGGAGGAGGAGGAGGAGGAGGAGGAGGAGGAGGAGGAGGAGGAGGAGGAAGAGTCGGTTTCAGCTTCCCGTGAGCGGAAATCGAGACGATCCCTGAGCTCCGTGCGGTGCCATTTCTGTGCGCCGGGCATCTGCGCCTGGCTTTGGACCCAAGGACAGTCATGCAGCGATCCGGCGCAAGGAGTGCAGCAGAAAGATGGGGTCGCAGGGGTCTATAGTTATGTCGGGCCTGTCCCCCTACAGGGGGATTTTCGACGAAAAATAATCAATACCACACAAATGCACCAAAAAGGCAAACAAATACCAGAAAAATTATGCTAACGGAGTTCCCCACATAAAGAGATTAACGGTTTCGTGGGACCCATTTTCTTGATGCCCTCCTCGCTTTGGCGGGGCCCCGCTGGAAGGGGGGAGGGCTACGAAACCTGGCGAAGAGTAATGCTTTCCGCGACCCTCCTCGTTCAAGCGCGGCCTCTCTGGAGGAGTGGAGGGGGGACACGAAACCGTGTAAACAGCATGTTTTCCGATACCCTCCAGGAAGAGGAGGAGGAGGAGGAGGAGGAGGAGGAGGAGGAGGAGGAGGAGGAGGAGGAGGAGGAAGAGGATAAGATGGATGATGGCGAAGAGCAGCAGCAGGAACCGCAGCAGGAGCAGCAGCGGGAGGTTGGTTTGAGTGGTCTCATTTTCCTCGCGAGGTCCGATTCGTGAGGTTGGTCTGAGTGGTCTCATTTCCCTCGTCCAGTCGAGGTTATACAAGAGGGTGGGCGACACGAGTTCGCTAGACGAAAGCACTTGCCGAGGTGTCTGGTAACTACAATTCGAACGCAGACACTGATCGGCCAAGACCGGTTTAAAAGACTGCCAATAATCTCCCAAACATTGTATCGCTGCATTATGGTTTTGTGCACACGGCGTTGGTGGTTTCCTCGCTCAGGCGGGGCCTCCCTGAAGGGGTGGGAGGGGCACGAAACCGTGTAAAGAGTATGGTTTTCCGATACCCTCCTCGCTCAGGCGGGGCCTCTCTGGAGGGGTGGGAGGGGCACGAAACCATGTAAATAGTATGGTTTTCCGATACCCTCCTCGCTCAGGCGGGGCCTCCCTGGAGGGGTGGGAGGGGCACGAAACCATGTAAATAGTATGGTATTCCGATACCCTCCTCGCTCAGGCGGGGCCTCCCTGGAGGGGTGGGAGGGGCACGAAACCATGTAAATAGTATGGTTTTCCGATACCCTCCTCGCTCAGGCGGGGCCTCCCTGGAGGGGTGGGAGGGGCACGAAACCATGTAAAT